TGTGCTGCACGGTGTGCCATGTCGTCGAACGAGTTGCAGTACGATAATACGACGATGGTGAGAGACGTTGAAGCGAAGGAGGAGGACGAGCAAACAAGAGAGACGAGGGACAAGTGTCGAAAACTGTGGAAAACTTTGGACGCCGCGTTGGCCGATCGGGACGATAACCTGTACGTGGCTGTTCGTCAGAGCTTGCACAAGGTTAATCAGCTTTCACGAGGTGAAAGGCCCTCGCTGAAAAGCTCGGAGGCCGGCGGCAAAGGCGGTGTCTCGCAAGAGTCGAGCATGGGCAGATTCTCCACGATCAAGGCGTTCTTTGATCAAAATGTGGGACAGGAGGGGGGCTCCCCGTACAGGTGCAGAAGTGGAACCATTATGGGCAAGCTGATGAGAGTGCTCGAACTGAGGAAACGAGAGACCAGTTCTATCATCGGTTGTTTTATTTGATTTTGAATTTCTTTTTCTTTGCTTTGTATTCTGTCTTCGTAGACTGTCATCCTGGCTTGTGAATTGTGTGGCCAAGTTTTTTTGGCAAGCGTGGAGGATTAAGTCACGTTTTCGAAAACTATTTCTACTTCGTTAAAATTTAATTCGTAAAAGAGAACCCGATTTTTTATCTTCGTTCTTCGCGGTAGTTCGTAGAGATTTAAATTTGTGAAAATTGTGCGATTAGATTTAGTATTTGGAAAGGATGGAGAAGGTTTCAGGGTTAGATCGAATTTAGCTTTTTAAAGACTGATTCAGTTTCAGACAACTTTCATTTCGTTAGTTTAATCAATTTTTCGGAAGAGAATCTGAGCAAATATTTCTTTTTTAGAAACCTCGTTCTTCGCGGTCGATTCGGTTAGTTTGTTTAATTTGAAGTTTAATTTGTGGCGAGGTTTAGTATTTGCGAAGAGTGAAGAATATCTTGGATCACATTCAATCCCTTAAAAACTGATTCAGTTTTTCAAACCTCCTTTTAATTTTTTTCATCATTTTAGCTAGCAAACGCAATTTTTCGGAAAGAGAACTTGAAATTCCTTTTTTCTTGTATTTCGTTTCTCGTAGTAATTTCGTTCAGTCAGTTTAATTTATGGCAAGTTTTAGGATTAAGCTATACTTGATCCCTTCACCCCTTAAGGAGTGGACTCAGTTTGAGAAAACTCTTTTTAACTTGAATATTTCTCGTTCGTAAATACAATTTTTCGTATATTGTTCGAGAAAGAACTTCTATTTTATATATAACAATGTAAGAATCAATACGTAGAAACGTATGAAATACTATGCTTCTTACAATACTTATTGTGAGCTCCAGTTTTTCAATTATTTAGAAAGAACGAAAGTCGCACAAAGATCCGCAGATCTAATAATAAGAAATCAAAGCTGCACGTGATGTTAGATTTGCATAATGCAGTAAACGCAGAGATGGCTCCAGAGGGATCAATATAACACGCTATACATAACAATGCGTTTGCAATTTTCATTTGAATCAGAACGTGCACACGGTTGGTATTGATTGTATAGAACGTGTGTCTGAAATGGAAAAGAAATCGAACGTTTGTGCGTTAATTCTATGGATCTTCTTCTTACGTTTCCCATTCACCAGATTTATTTGATCTATGAAGAATCATCAAAGACTCCTGTTTTTGAATGTCCGGATGCTGGACGTATGCGATGGAGAAGGAATGTAGATACACATTAAGTTTATACATTAGCTCTATGATTTATTGACGTGATATGTTGTGGCTAACAATGAATTTCGTTGCCGTTCCAGTTGAAAATTTCACCAGTGGATACGTTGGTTATTGCGCAGGGATGGATTAGATTTATGCGTTACGGGTAATACATTATAGACGAATATAATACATTATGAATATTAATCAACGTTAGAGGGCCGTTTGATTGTTTCGCTTGATGCGGAATATTATTGCAGTTCTGGAATACGGGCCAATGCAAATTTTAAAATTATGTATTTCAAACGTCCCCTTGTGGATTTAGCGAACGTGATCCATTATCATTGCCAGTGAGTTGTAAAATGCCTGTGAACGAATTTCCTCTGTGTAATATCGATTGTGTTGAAAGTTCAGAAGAAGGTAAACTTGGAAATTAGATACAGTATATCGTAAATGTTATAGATCGATGTATTTATTAGACGAATTTATTCAATTCTCCTTTTATACATGTTGATTCTCTGTGTGTTAAATATCGTCTTTCTGTACGTGTTCATCGTCTGTCGTCGGTAGAAAATTTTATCGTCATCCAAGATAAGACCGTGACGATCGTTCCCTTCGTTTCCCAAAGCTCTCCCCATTTTCTTCTTTGATATCGGCCTATCTAAAGTGCCACCCTCTAGCCGTGAACCATGCTTTTTTTTATCTGTACAACCATAGAGATTTCCAGACCGTCAAATATTGCAAGATAAATACCTTCCACGATCCTCGAACCTTTGAATCAAGGTTGAACAAAAAAAAAAAAAAAAAAAAAAAAAA